CACCCACGGCACCTGTGCCAGTGCCAGGGGTGACGCCCTGTTTCCCCCACAGCCTGGGCAGGGACGCGGCGGTGCCAGGGCCACCCCGGTGCCACCCCGGTGTGTCAGTGCCACCCGGTGCCACCCGGTGCCACACCGGTGTGTCAGTGCCACCCGGTGCCCTCTGTCCCCGGTGCCCGCCGGGTCCAGGGCCTTGGACCCCGATCGGTGCCACGCCCGCCGCCGCTGGCAGCAGGGCAGGGCAGTGCCAGCCCCGTGTGCCCCGGTGCCACCCGTGAGTGTCCCGGTGCCACCCACGTGTGTCCCGGTGCCAGCCCCGTGTGCCCCAGTGCCACCCGTGAGTGTCCCGGTGCCACCCGTGAGTGACCCGGTGCTACCCACGTGTGCCCCGGTGCCACCCACGCGTGTCCCAGTGCCAGCCTCGCATGTCCCAGTGCCAGCCTCGTGTGTCCCAGTGCCAGCCTCGTGTGTCCCAGTGCCAGCCTCGCATGTCCCAGTGCCAGCCTCGCATGTCCCAGTGCCAGCCTCGTGTGTCCCAGTGCCAGTCCCGTGTGCCCCGGTGCCACCCGTGAGTGTCCCGGTGCCACCCACGCGTGTCCCAGTGCCACCCGTGAGTGTCCCAGTGCCACCCACGCGTGTCCCAGTGCCAGCCCCGTGTGCCCCGGTGCCATCCCCGTGTGCCCCGGTGCCAGCCTCGTGTGTCCCAGTGCCACCCTCGTGTGTCCCGGTGCCACCCACGTGTGTCCCAGTGCCACCCGTGAGTGTCCCAGTGCCACCCACGCGTGTCCCAGTGCCAGCCCCGTGTGCCCCGGTGCCACCCACGTGTGTCCCGGTGCCACCCACGCATGTCCCGGTGCCACCCACGCGTGTCCCGGTGCCACCCACGCGTGTCCCAGTGCCAGCCTCGTGTGTCCCAGTGCCACCCTCGTGTGTCCCGGTGCCACCCACGTGTGTCCCAGTGCCACCCGTGAGTGTCCCGGTGCCACCCACGTGTGTCCCGGTGCCAGCCTCGCATGTCCCGGTGCCACCCACGTGTGTTTCCCCATGGGTGCCACCCCCGATGCCATCAGTGCCACCCTTGGGTGCCGCCGCTGCTGGCCTC